TCAGATTTATTTATTCTTTGTATTTATCTAGCTTTGGTCAAAGCATTTATTTTTGTGTGTGGAGGTGTAGTGATGGTGGATAAAAGTCTATGCAATAGCCATAGACACTGCCTTTTATCTTTCATTTCCTAATAAAATAGGAATGCCACGTCAGGAGAGATAGGATAACACCATTGCGACGTAACCAATTGGTGACAAGGGCCAACTGACTTGGCTTACTTGATGTGTGATATTTGTTAAACCTTTTCAATGTGTTTTGTGCTAGTTTATGAAGTTGTTAATTTGTGGTTTTTACAACAAGTAGGATATTTGGCCAGTTATGTACAAAGTGTTTATGTATGAAGGGTGTGTTGTGTGAGCAGTGTTTGTGTGTGGGTGGTTTGATGTAAGATGGATTGGCTATGGGGGTTGTATGATTTAAATTTTTGTTAGTTGTTGCTGGGAAATCAAGGCAACAAGGGAATAATTTGGAGAGACAACATGAGAACCATGTTATGCCAATCACTCTAATTTCTTTTAATTTATATTCAGTATACTTTATAAAAAAAATTTTGTTAGTGGATTTGTTTTTTCTCATTTGATTTAATAAATCCTTGAGAACACGAACTTCCGCGTTGGTATAGGTGCTTGATTTTTTTCATTTTGGTTGGTGGGTTGTGGGTGGTTTGATGTAAAATTCCATGGCTATACACATTATATTGTATGAATGTTTCTTTGTTATGTCAGAATACCAATGCAGGGTAATAATTCATATATCAATTGAGTATTTATTTGTTATTTCGGAATTCCAGTGCAGGGTAATACTCTGTGGAGTGAACCAGCATAACTTTGGTGGGGTTTTGTTTGATGGAAAGAGGCTCGTTGCTTGTTCCAATGACATGGACATGTCGGCCAGGCAGGGGAGGTGACACGCGTTGTTGGATGGGACCTTGCCGGCCTGGTAGTATTACTAGGGTTTGGTGGGTAGTGATGTTGTGAAGGTGGTTTGTTGTATGTTGTGTGCAGTGGCTATTTGTATCATTGATTATTGCTTAGCAATTTCAAAATAGCAGTGCAAGGCAAGGTAGTTTAGAGGAAACTGCATGACTTCTTTCATATTTCTTCTTCTTTGTATTGGGTAGTTTAGTTATATGGGTCTTTAATTTATTTGTTTATTTTGCTTCTTTATTTTTCCTGTTTCAAATGATTTGTGTAATACAGGTGTTTTTTTGTAGTGGTGCTGTGTGGGTGGTTGGATATTCAATGTGATTGGTGTGCTAATTATATCATTTTTATTTGGCTTTGTTAATTTGAAATACCAATGCAGCATGATTAGATTTTAGAGGGGACTGCATGACTTGGTTGTTGCAATATTTTATGAAAACATTGGATTGTAATTAATTTTATGTGATCGTGGTTAAGATATAGTTTTTATTGGATCAATTTGTTACTGCAACTCTGATCAACGTATTTGTGCATTAATTATTTTCCATTGGTGTTGTGTACGGTTTGGTGTATGATGCAGTGGCTAGAAAACTGTATCATGTGGTTTGGCTTTGTTAATTTGTAATACCAAGGCAAGGCAAGGATTCATAAGGGAAAACCACCTGGCTGCTTGGTGATTTCCTATTCTCAAAATCTTTAAAATTAGTTTTAGTAAATTTTCTCAACATTTATGATTTGGGGTGGTAATTTCACTGTTTGTTTTGGTTGAGAATACCATATGACACTTTGGGTCTTTCAATTGGTTGAAGTCTTTTGATTTAGTTTTGTTCTATTACGGGTGTCTTCAATATATTGTTTCTATTTGAATTATTTTACTATCATTTTCTTTAATCAATGTATGAATTATGGGTTTCTATTATGTGTGGTGGGTGGGTGGTTTGTTGTATAATGGGAGGGTTATTGTAATTATGATTCAATTTTTTTTTTGCAATTCAAAATTCCAATGCAGCAGGGGAAATCATGGGAGAAATTTGCCTGCTTACAATGTTTGAATTTAGTTTTGTTGTATGTCAAAATTGGTTTTATTTTGATGTTTCTTTTCAATGGTACAGCCATTCCAATATTGCTTGTCACTCCGTATTGAAAAAGGAAAAGTGAAACCTAAGTTTTTACCGGTGTTTACTTGATAACACTCCAAACTTGGTTGTAATTCAAGGAAATATAGCCAAATCCCAGGTTTTAGCTGGTTAAGACTTAGATTTCAAGCGCACAGATTTTTTCTTTTTCGGACAGGTGCAACAAGCAATATTGGAATGGCTGTATATCCTAGAAGAAAGTTGCACACCTTACGTGTTGTTGCATTTTCCTAGTCTTTCAAGTTACTTTCATTTGATTTTGAATTTTTGTTTGGTTTACTCGATCTTGATTATGTTTTGTTTTTGGATTTCTGTCAACCTGTCTATGATGTGTTTTGTTTGTGTTTGTGTGGATGGGTAGGCGTTGCGATGAAAACAGGGATGGCTATAGGAATTGCATCCCTTGAATCTTTGTCAATATGGAATGGCAATGTGGTAGACTTCTTCGAGGAGGCCAAACAACTTGCTTTGTTTTCATAGAATCATTTACTTCAGTGATTTGCTATTTTGACATTTTTTTTTATTTATTGTTCCTGTTTCAATTGGTTTGGTTATCTTGAGTTGATCACAATATTCAAGGATTGGGGGTTTTGTGGGTGGCCAGCTGGGCGGATGACATGGTTGGTGGTGTACTGCGGCGCGCTACGCGCTAGCCAAACAGGGAGTGGTACATGGGGCTTCTACCGGTTGTGAAATACATGTGCCAAAATCCAGGTTATATAGTTGCGGAGGTGTAGGTAGAACAACCAGGATATTAGCATATTTGTCCGTCCAAGACTGCTTTGACCTCTCTATAAGCATATTACAATGAGATGAAGATTTGACCTGCAGGGGGTCTTTGTTCAGGAGGCAGGATTCAGGCTACACAGAGGGGCTTTGTCAAAATGACCAATGTGGTTGGCCGCCGTAATTGAAAAATGGCGGCCCAATGAATCTTGTCTGTGTTTGTCCACTCGGGTTTGTGTGTTCAAGGCCGCCATTTTCAATTTTAGGTGGCCTTGCCTGGTCACTTTGTGCTGCTGAAGGCCGCCAAAATGCATTTTCGGCGGCCATTGGTTTTCTGTTTTTAGCCCTTTGAGCACGAGCGTACACCTTTTTAGGGGCTCCGGGCTCCAGGACGGCCAAAAGTGTACGCTCCCGCTAAAAAGCGTACACTCGGTACCATCCCCCCGCCCGGAGGGCGGGGGGGCGGGTGCTATGTGCTGGTAGGAATGATAAAACTGTGTCTCTAAGGGTGAACTCAAAATAAAGCACAAGAGTAAACTGCAGGTCGGACACAGGTCTGAAATCCTTTAAAGCACTGAGTTTTTTTGTAAATGGAATCAGGTGTTTGTGGCATATGAGAGTATGTGATCTTTTGGTTCCCACAACATTTCATTGCTCGGAGCCATGTTTGCAATGGATCATGTGACTTGGCTTCAACTGTCAGACGCAATGGGTTTATGTTTGGTGCAATTTTTGATCCAACATTTTGGTGGTGGCATCGGTGGGGCCTTGCCTTTTTTGAGTGTCAAACAGAAACACAGCAGGCGCCACATATAGCTCAAGATTGTAGTGTGTGAAAGTTGTGCTCGGTGGAAGGCCAGTCTGTGAATAGTTGCATGAATAGTGGGTGCTCTTGCGTTGCCTTCTCAAGAATAGAAGTTATTTGTAAGTTTGTGGGTGGGGGTTTGTATTGCAAATTTTTGAAAGGTTTGTTTCAGTGCAATCGGTTTCAGCTTGTACATATTAAACCTCTTCAATCACCTCGCTTGGTTTGGAAATGCAAAGGACTTTCAGAGTATTTGAACAATTTTGATTTATGTTTTTAGTGCCACAATGAGCACACAGTACAGCCTTGACACTTGTTGGAGTGGTTTTTGATCAAGCTTGGTACTGATATTATCAGTGCGGGATTGCAGCAAGGGTATTACAAGTGTGGGATGTGCGTGGCAGGACGTATACGTTTGCATTGCACCATCCTTACATTTGAGCTCCGAGATTATTATATGTTGCGGAAGATTGAACTCATCTGCCGTACTCCCTTCATCCCTGGCGGAACTTCATACCCGCTGCAGCACAGCTGGCTCTACGATGCGTAGTACATGTACGCCAGTTTGCTAGTTGATACGGGAACTGGTGATATGCGTAGCACGTCTCCAAATCTGAATTGCACAACTAAGGGGTTATGACCCATTTGTCACCAAAGCTGACGCTTTGGTGACAACTTGACCCGCACGTGGAAGGGACATTATGTCCCCAAACCACAAAGCTTGGGGACAACTCAGCTGGCGTGAAGATATCACAGCCTCAGTGTCATTGATGCACAGAATGTCACCAAATAATCAGAAATGGCGACAGCTGAGCTTATCAAGTAGAAATGTCGCCAAATTGCGAGGTTTGGCGACAAATCACCGTTGAGGAAGAATGTCGCCAAATGTTGCCATTTGGCGACAAATCACGCCTGATTGGGTTTACAGGGAGCAAATGTCGCCAAATAAATATATTTGGCGACGTCTGCGCGGCCTAGCGTACGTGTCTAGGGGCCCTAAAGGCACAATGCTGCGCCGCACGTACGCTCTCAGCCAAAAAGCGTACGTGGCGTACGTGCATTGTGGGCGCTGGGCTCCGATGTGGTGGTTAGCTCCTCATTATTGGTGACTGCGCCGGAAATATTTTTCATTATCCCCCGCAAGCCTAACCCTAAGCCTAACCCCTAAGCCTAACTCCTAAGCCTAACCCCTAAGCCTAACCCTAAGCCTAACCCCTAAGCCTAACTCCTAAGCCTAACCCCTAAGCCTAACCCTAAGCCTAACCCCTAAGCCTAACCGTAACCCTAACGCCTAAAGGTGCGGCGTTGAATGCTAACCCCTAAAGGTCCGGCGTTGAATGCTAACCCTAAGCTTCTCATTATTGGTGACTGCGCCGGAAATATTTCGTGGTCTCCTCCTGCAATGATATTCAATCAGCATTCGAGAAGCATAGGACATCTGGTCGCATCGGCTCAAAAAATGCGACTCTTACCTCATTAGCTTCCCTCGGCTGGACAGCTGGTGGACTGGCTTCCTCTTCACCCGGGGCCTCTTCATCTTCTTCCTGTGTATCAGAAATATCCGCATGTCAGCTTCGTGGCAACACTATCCGGAAAACCTGACTCACCTCGCTGTTACTGCCGTCTCTGCCGGATCCCTCCTTACTACTCTGATTGCCACGCTCGTCATCTCCGGCAGCCTTAGCTGCACCCGCTTTTAATGAGCCCTGTGTTAATACAAATGTCAGTATAAAGACTCCAGTGGTTTCATAAAATTATATGTGGTTCACTTACTGATTCTTTGGCCCCTGTTGCCATTCTGCTGCGGAGGTCTACTGAAGCAGCCCTTCTGTAGTGTATAAATCAACGGTCCTGCTCGGTATTCATTGTCAGCTACCTGCCACGGTGATCTCGTTGATCTTTTACAGGGAATACACTTACCATGTCGTCGTCTCCGTCTACACCTAAAGACATAGCCCTCGGAGACATACCCGTTGATGCACCCTAGATATTCTCACAGTCAGCGTCGCAATTACTTCAAAGTTGCGACCTCGAAAGGTTTCCTAACCTTCAGTTTGTCCACCCGGCTGCCTTTGGGGTTTGTTGGCGGATTAGGTACACTCACTGGGACCTGTTCATGTGAAGCAAATACGTCAGTAAGTCGCATCAAACCAGATAATGCAACCTCGACGGTACCTGGTGGGTGTCTTCTTCTCCACTTGGGGCACGAGTGCTCTTTCGTGATTCCTATGCAAAAGTCCCAACCGTCAGCTCTGATATCAAGGTCGCATCTAACACGAAAATGCGACTTACCTGCGTCAAGGCCATCTGGATACCTGCGGTGTTGACCAGGGTGCGTCTCGAATTGCCTCTCTTGCCGGCCTGCTTGGTTTACAAATATAATCAAAGGTGTAAGTCTTTTTTTTGCTGGATTGAGCTTCAGAGATACTGAACTGACCATTTTGTTTGTTCCCGCTTTTGATCTAGTATTGAGTTGCTCAGCAGTGACTGACTCTTCGTCTCGAACACTGGCTCGATTGCCAGGCGTCGGGGTATCTGGACACTCTTCCCGAGCATCCGATGGGACTGGCGGTATTCGAATGCTGATATTCTGTAAGTACAAACAATGCAGGGGTTGTTTTAGTTATTCTATTCGACTTCTGTATGTGATGTTACAACATGGGACTTACCTTGCTACCTGGGGCTAACTCCTGCTGGATATCTCCCGGCGCTCCACTGCTGCTTTGAGATGATCGGCTACTGGCCGGTCCGGACTATGAAGGCCAGAAATAAACATGTCAGCATCAGTAAGTTGCATTTTGTGACTAATTGCAACTCTGATAAAATTACTCACTTTGCTGGTGTGTCTCATACTGAATCTGATTTATTCTAAGGTTATCCATTCCGAAGAAAGTTTGAGAAGTGTCAGTTTTTGAACTATTAACCTGTTACCTCATGGTATCGAGTTGTTTTCTAGACTCAGTGTGTACCAACTAATGTGTTGATACCTGTACTCAAATGAAATGCAAATCGAATGTTGATTAGTGAGTGATTGGTCATGGATGAGATGGTGTGATATATTTAAGATGACTTACTTGTTGAATTCTGCTAGGTTGAGGTGATTAGTGGATGTTATATTGGTGAGTGAGGTGGAATAGTCGAGATGTCAGTGTTGTTTTGTGATTATGGCCAAACGATGGGGGTTGATGACTTACTTGAGGTCCTGAGAATATCCTAGGCTTCGTGCAATCAATCGATTGGTGGGGAAACTACATGATTAGGGAACCAATTAGCTGACATGGCTGCTCTAATACATGGTTGGAATCATCTTACCTGAAGATGTTCGTTGAGGATTGCTTGGTTTGGAGGTTGTTTGAGGATGAGAGTGGATGGATGGTAGGATTTGTTGATGATGGAAGTGGATGAATGTTTTGGAACTCTTGAAGTTGGTGGTCGAGTTGAAAGTTGGAATTCGAACTGGGGGTTCGGATGAACCGAATCTTTTCCAAGCGGTTATCATCATGTTAGGTTAGTGGTTAGGTTTCATTACACAACACTTGCCCTAACTGACCCATTACACTTACATGTACCTTGTGATTGGTGTAATGTCTGTCACATGTAAATACATACAGCTCACCCGTGTGTCGAACTCACGTCCGCCGAGTCATCAAAAATCTAAACGCGCGTCTTAACCGCTAGACCAACAAGACTGATGTCATACATATAGAGTTATACATATGTTGTGACCCTTGGACACAACATATTTGGTGTCGTGGGTCGCATCTTTTATGCAAATGCGACACACACTGCACTTTCTATTGTTGCAGGGGTTGCATTTGCTGCATGTATGCAACCTCTGCTCCTTTAAATGCAAATTTGACATTTGTTGTTGTTACTGCATGTGTGCAATGCGCTGAACGTCGCATTTTTGACTTCAATGCGACCTGTCCATTGACTCATGGTACCTGTGATGGCCTCATTTCATGCATATTCTACCTGGGGGTCGCATTTTTGGCATGAATGCGACCTGCAGAAGTCAATCTCGTATGTTTTTGGAGGGCGTCGGGGGACGGGCAGCCAAAACATACGAAATCACAAAATTAGGGGGTATTTTTGTATGTTTCGTATGTCCCCGTCGCCCGTCGGGGGGGGGGGATCCGGTAACTAATGTTACTTTCACACAAATTACTATTTTTCCACACCATTACATTTCTCCATTTCTCCTCTTTCCCTTCACCATACACACACATCCACATTATTTACTAACTTAAACTTACAATATACAATTATCCTCACCAACTTTTTATTTTCCAAACGCTCTCATCCCCCTCTTCAATCACATTCCATTCATCAATTTACAATCAACATCATCATCCCATACATTCAATCCACTATCATCCAACCCCCTCAACATAAATACCCTTCATTTCAAATAATAAACCTACTTCATGATCAATTTTCACTTCCACTTAAACTACAATTCATTCGCAAAATATCATACAACATCAATAATCTCATTCATTTTTACAACCACTTTCCACATTTACAATGTCATATCCCATATTAACTATCCATTCCCTGTCTTCATAATACTATAATTACTCACCATTCAACTTTCATTCACTTTCCTCATCAACTATGTTTTTACCTTTTTTCATTACCTCACACCTTCCAAAACCCATATATCTACATATATCCATAACCCTCACATCCTCATATCAAACAATTTACTACATTATTTGTTACCACATTATTCATGATCACCCAATCTCAACTACTCTTCACATTTCAATTTACATGTTTTCCCCCTTATTTAACCTTAACCCACTATTACCTTTTCTACTTCCACATCAACTTCTACAAACCCTAACCCTATATACTTCACTTTTCACATCGTCATCCATTCACCTTCTTTCCACATCTACATTCCCTTACTTTTCCCAACATATCTTACAATATTTGTTATTCACATACACTTTACACTTCAACATCATTATCACATACCTTACTAAACCCACCACATACACCCAACAATTCCATCCAACTTCTAACCACAAACTTTTTCTTCCACCCTATATCTATCATTGCCACTCTCCTCACCCATCCTTTCCACTCATCACAACACATTATTATACTTTATTTACAATCACTTCATCATTCTTCCAATACACCCTTCACCCATTCCCACTATTCCTCACTT